TTTATTAATCACGTATAGGATTTTTTTGCATGTGATATCTTCGTTAAAATGGATGTATCTTGAGTTCCTGACATCAAATTTACACGTTTCAAGTACCTTTAGAAAACTAAGAGATAGACGGTTGTATCTCTTGAAGACATGTAGAACAAATAACACTTGAATCCCATTCATAAAGTTGTTGCACATTTACATCGGTTTTGGTCTTATTTTCCAAGACTTGGATGTGTGTATCAATTGGAACAGTTAGTTCATTGTTGAACATACTTTGATATACCAAAAATTAATTAATATTTTTTTAAAGAAATTTTAAAATTATATTCAATTTGGACATTGGAATATAAAAATTATTTTTAAGGTCAAAAACTCAATTTTACTCCTCACTTTATTGAAAAATTGAGTCATATATTGGAAATATTTTTAAAATAATTTTACAAATAGTTTCAAATTTTAATCCAGTAAAAAATATTTTTTAATTCATCAGTACCGATACTTCAAGAATAGTATCGATATTATTCATGTAGTATCGATACAATATCAATACTAATAGCCGAAAAATTCACAGAAGTATCGATACCCCTAATAGAGTATCGATACTCCTAGAACTTTACTAATTCTAGTAGCCAATTTTAGTACCAATAATATGCAAGTATCGATACCAATATCAATACTCAAGTTGGAGTAACGATACTCCACTTTCCCAACAACAAGATTTTTGTATTTAATACAGGTAATATCGATACTCTAAGAATGAATAACAATACTTAAGGCGATTGGGTAACATTTATTGCGAGAAATTTCATCACAATGGCTCTGTTAATGCTCACAACAGCCCAAACAACTAGAATTGAATGAAGAGGTATAAAAACAAGATTCCAAGTCATATGTGAAGACAAAAATATCAAAGAGAAAGGAAAAAGCAATCAGAAGAGTAAAAAACTCAAGTCAATATTCTCAAACATTCTTTTTGCTTTCAAGAACACTTTTGTACTTCTTTATTTCATTCTTTAAAGTGTTTTATTTGTTCTGAATTGTGCAAACACTTTTTTTGTAATTTTTTTAAAGTTTTCTCTTTTTAATTTCTTCTTAGGAAGGGTTGTACACTTGAGACATTGGGTTATAAGTCTTAAGTATGTTGTAAGATTACACCTTGTCCTAAAAGGTTTGAATAAATTAGTGAATTTGTTGAAATCCTTAGTGTGGAAGCTAAGGTAGTGGATGTAGACTTCATTGAAGAAATTGAATCATTCTAAAATTTCTAATGTCAAAATTTTCATTCTCTTACAAAAAACATTCATCAATCTTTTAATTGTCAATTCACCCCCTCTTGGTCGTTCCATTGGTTCGATTGACTCAACATCCATCTTCCTTTGATGTGAGGCTTGTGGTGCTTATATCATCCTCCTTCTCTTCAAAAAGATTCGACCTTGAATCTGAAACATCAGGGAGAGAAAAGTCAAAACCTTTTAAGAATTCACTCACATCATACTTACCGAGTATATATGCTTTGTATCTTCGAGACTTTTTTCTTATATTATGTTTGAGTATAAACATTACTCTAAAGAAGCATGCATTGTAATCATCATGGATTCTGGAGCATGTATCACCTACATATGCAGTGCTTGAACCATGGACCTTAAGAGATAACAACAAATCTCTTAATCTTTGAGATCACGCGGTTCGTATATAAATTTGATTATTGAATGGTTACAATTGGATTTAGATTGATGTAATATATGTAAGGGTAAAGTACACAAAGGGTCTCCTGACTATAGGATATTGCTTTATTGAGTCTCTGACTATTAAAAGTTACAAAATGACCCTCCGACTATAGGGTGATGTTTTATTGAGTCCATCGACTATTAAAAGTTATAAAATGGTCACCTGACTATTCATATGTTTCAAACTCATCCTTTTATATTAAGAAATTGATGATTGTTTGAGTTGGATGTTAAACTATTGACTTGGATATAATAAATTCATATTTTAATGATGTATACTAACACTACCATTACTTTTGAGCACTGGCTCGACAGCTTAATGTTTTAGGTATTAGCTCAAATACATAATGTAAACAGAAAACCGATTAACAAAATACAACTCGAACAGTTTCGGGATCATATTTTTATCATATAAAAGGGCACAGTTAGGTCATATGAATAGTCAAGTGACTATTTTGTAACTTTTAATAGTTGATGGACTCAACAAACATTGCATTATAGTCGGGAATAATTTTATAACTTTCAATAGTTTAGGAACTCAACAAAACAACACACTATAGTTAGGGAACCATTTGTGTACTTTACCCTATATGTAAATGACCTCTGGAATTGATTTGAGGTAATAAAATATGTGGCATCTATTTTTGAAGTCCAAGATGAACCAAGTAAGGTCTAAATGGTTAAATTCGAATAAAATTAAATTTAATTGAATAATGACCCTTAATATAGATCTAATTGTGAATAAAAATAAAATTCGATTACATTAATTCCAAAACATGCAGTCTTCAAACTGAGAGCACAAACTCTGAATCGAGACCCTAAATCAAATAACTTTTAAAAAACATGCATCTAGTAACGTCTTTGAAAAATAACTTTTAAAAGTGTCGTAGAAATGAACTTTTAAAAGTATTGTACAAAAATGCAATTTAAAATTTAATTGTTTGAGATTACTATTTAAAAGTAAGATTGAAAAGATAAAATATCCATTATAGATATTATTTTGTAAATTAAAAATATAAAATTTAATTTATATTTATACTATTAATATCGATTTAAACTTATATATGAATCATATCAATTTAAACTATAATAAAATCAAAAAATTATTATTATTTATGAATTATATCAATCTAAACTATAATAAAAATAGAAAAAATAAAAATAAAAAAATATAATTATAATGAAAATATATTTTATTTATTTTTAAATAATTAAAATAAATTATTAAAAGTAATAAATTAATTTTTAAGGATGTTAGTATTAACATATTAAAATAAAATATAAATACATAATTGAGTGGAGCTCATGCATTAATAATGGTAAAATTATAATTTATTTCCAAACATAAATTTAAAAATAAAAAAATTAGAAATCATAACTTTCACGATTGATTATAAACTACAATTTTCATCGTAATTTCTTTTTACTTGTTACCCATTTAGTATTAATTAATTTTGTGATCAAAATAATCCTTTTTTAACTAAAAGTATTTTTAGAAAGAATTACGAAACGAACCCTTAAATTCGATAATGAGAAATAAAGTTGATGACGAAAAAACCTTAAAACTACAAGCCAAATATAAATAATGCTCAAGTGTTTTTTACTCCCAAAGGCCCAAAAGCCTGAATAAAATTAAAAGGTAGGATGAAATTAGGTGCCTACAATAATTATACCTTTAATTTTAAAGTGGATCATAAAATTTATTTTCTTTAAATTTATGTCACATTTTCCACACTCATTTTATAAATTAATTTATTTAATTTCTTTTCAGTTCTAATTAAATTTTATGTTATTTTTATTATTATTGCTTTATATTACATGGAAATGAATTTCTACATGCATAAAATAAAAAAGTCACATCAAGCTCATCGTTATTCAATTTAATAGTGAAGAAAACAATATTGTCTTAATTGCCAAAACGTTTTGTCCAATAACCAAAATAAAAACATGGACATAGTTTAATGCCCAAAAGGGTAGTTTACACGAAATCAAAATTAACAAGAGAAAAGAGAAGCAAAGAGCTGGAGCTAGGCCTGTAAACGAACTGAACGCACACGAACGGAGGTATGTTCATGTTCGTTCATTTAATAAATAGACGAACATAAACGAACACGAACATAAACGAACAAAATTTTTTTTGTTCATGTTCGTTTATTAAGGAATATAATTTGTTCATGTTCGTTCATTTAATAAATAAACGAACATAAACGAACACGAACATAAACGAACACGAACATAAATGAACACGAACATAAACGAACATAAACGTTGGAGACCCTACCTTCCATTGTTCTTTCATGAAAAATAGTCGACAATGCAAATCAACCAAATCTACAGTGATAAATAGCGTAAGAGTTGATTAGCAGTGATGAAATGTTTGAAGATATCAAATATTTTGATCGATCTTTTAAAGATATTAAATGATTCACACAACTTTAATTTAACGCTATAACATTTATCTTAGTGGTCCATGATTACATATGAACAATCATTTTCTCCTATTACACTCTTTTTCAGAAATTACATAGAAACCTTTGTTTTGTTTCTGGCAAATTCTATATATTTTTCTCTTTACTGATGCTCGTATACTTCCGATTGTTACCTTTATATTCCCATCTATTTCTAGAAAGAAGTATGATATTTTCTTGAGTTTTAGATGTGAAGATACCTGCAATAACTTTACATATCAACTATTAAGCCAAATAAAATAGAGAAAGAGATGAAAACAAACATGTAAAACTTCATATTGCACTATAATATAACTTGTTTTGAAGCTTTCAGCGATCGTCTCCACTCTCTAGTGAACACTAGGGTTTGGGAAAAAAAGGGAGAAATGAATATAGGTGTGAGGTGCCTCACAGGTTAATATATTGGATTTAATCTCCAAATAAAATTGGATTAATTATGGAGTTGGTCATCAGAATATCATATTAATTAATATTTTTAAGATACTTACAAATTGGTCACCAAAATTGATTTAAGAAGATTGGGTTAAACATAAATGAATGAACATAAACGAACATAATCGAACGAACATAAACGAACATAACCGAACGAACATAACCGAACGTTCACGAACATAAATGAACGAACGAGACCTATGTTCATGTTCGTTCATTTAATTAAACGAACAAAAAATCTTGTTCATGTTCGTTCATTTAATAAATAAACGCACATAAACGAACTTCCCGCCGCACGGTTCATGAACGGTTCACTGAACGTTCAGTTCATTTACAGGCCTAGCTGGAGCGCCTTAAAATCGTAATTTACTCTTAACAATCTGGAAAATAAGAAAACCCTCAGCCCACCTCTCATAAAAATCTAACCTAAACTATTAAATTTCCTCTTTGCCTTTTGAGATTGGATTTGGATCTTCAGTTTTCCCTAACGCCGGCTACTTCTGGTACGCCTTAACTCTTCTTTCTTAAACCCTATTCGTTGTTTAGGGTTACTTTCCGTTGATGCTTTTCATTCTAGGTTTTATGTGTTTTTTCATTTTTTTTAATGTTTATGTTTTACATTTTTTAAGAGAATTTGCACCTTCTATCTATTATTTCTTAGTTAATGGGTAAATTTTGCAAATCGCCTTCTTTTTGGTGTAACTATTTGTTCCTAATAACGTTAATGGCTGAATATTGAGTTTTTTCGTGTGTAAAAATCCACTTTCCCTTTGTTGTAAAATTCCTGTTAGGTTAATGAATGGTCTGAGTGAACATTTGAATGCAGAATACACACATTTATATAAGATGTCAAGTAAGAAAGAGGAGAAAACTCAGGCAGCTTCCGACAGAATCAAGGCTGCAGCACTGAGTGCTGCAAAAGGCCTAAGTCGAGCTCAAGCGGAAAGGGCGGCTGCTGCAGCCGCCCGAAATGTCAATGCTTACGGGCAAAAGGAAGAGGGACCAAGTAGATGGCAAGAGAAAAGGGAAGCAAAGAGGCAAATGTATTTGATGAGTACCGAAAAGGCGGTTAGATTAGGAGAAAGGAAAGACAAGGCCACTATGATGTCTACTATCGGTGCTTCACAGTGTCAAAGGTGTTTCCAGGCGGGGCATTGGACGTATGAGTGTAAGAATGAGCGGGTTTATATGTCGCGACCATCGCGAACTCAACAGCTTAAGAACCCAAAATTGAGAATGAAGCCTTCAATCTCTTATGATTTGGATAACCCAGATGTTAAGGATGAGAAGGATGATAGTAGGTCTAAGAAAAGCAAGCGGAAGCATGGGTCAGATTCAGGTTCTAGTAGTAATAGTGAAGCTTCTGTTTCCGAGACCGATAGTGGCAGTGCATCAGGTTCTTCAGCAGAGAGTAGTACGGATTACAGCTCGTCATCGGAGTCTGAGAAGAGACATAGGAGGAAGAAGAAGAATAAGAAGAAGAAGGTGAGGCGGACTAGGTACAGCTCGTCTTCTGAGTCTTCCGACTCAGAATCTACGTTGGATTCAGATTCTGATGGTAAGAGCAGGCGACAGAAGAGGCGGAAGCATAACAGAAAGCAATGAAAGGAACATCATTGTTGTCAATGTGAGATTTGGGTGTTTTAAGATGGGATAATTTTACCATCTCTGCTTGCGGTTTTCTGTAGCCTTTACAAATGCTGGAGATCAAACACTATGACATAAGGATGCTAGATGTTTTCATTGCTTTTCCGTTTTGTACTGGATGCTTTGTTATTTGTTGTGTGTTATGAAATGATTGTACTTGGAAAATCCTCTTCTTAATTTCACTTTGAACGCTCCATCACTTTTTCTTTTCTGTGTTCATCACTAGAAATTTATTAACTATGTTATTGGGACTCAACCGTAGTGTTGAATGTCAATAATTTTTTTTTACAACTTTAACATCTCTCTCTATGTTTATGAATGCCGACCCTATTGATAACTTGGGATTGAACAACATTCATACAAGAATGTAAAACACACCCGAGAAACGATTTACCCGTTTGTAAAATTAGAGGTGTGAAACTTGTTTCATTTTATTTACTGCATACCGATCCCAAAACATTTCAAAGCAAAAATTTACAGGAATTGCATGCGATAGTGTGACTTGAACTTAGCTTGAGTGATAAGTAATTTGGTAGGTCTTCAAGCTTGGATGCAAGGAATGAACTTCAAAAGGCTGGTAAAGAGAAGCAAACAAGACCTTTGTGTAGGGAAGTTAGTAAACAAGGTTTGTTGTACGCAAACTGCTCATTTGCATATAGTCTCTTATACTTGACCATTTGTTCTTGGAACATGCGACATATAAAAGATTGATGTTTGCACCCCACTTGAGGATGGATGATCTTCACATATACTCTCACAGTTGAAGGACTGCAATAACAAAAATTTGGCATTTTCGATGACAGAATAAAGTTGCTCTTGATTTTGACATCTCAAGTTTAATAACGAATGTTCTACCAAAAAAAAAAAGTTTAAAAACGAATGAACGTATGTCATTGCACAAACAAGGATAGATAGAGGGGTTGGCAGGATCGTCGTTCCTATTAAATTTTTAAGTTCTCATATAATTTAGATTTGTTCTTTTATATATATATATATATATATATATATTTATCAATAATATATTTTTTGTCTCTTAAAATTTGATACAATATTAAATACGTTACGTACATGTCATGATACTATCTTGCATGCTGGTTCACTAAATTTCTTAACTAGTCACTTGAAAAATGACCTTTTGGAGGCACACGCTGGGTTTTGTTATGAATTGCAAAATCTGACTTGATTTATATTTTCTGGTGACGGTTTTCATTTTATTTTTGCTTTTCTCAAAATGCTAAAATCCAAAAAAGTAATATTTGTATTATTAATTTTATTTTATCATTTTGGTTTGATAGGAGGCCTAAATGAACCTGCACAGCGGCCTTTTATTGAAAGAGGTTTGCGGTTTGGGCACTATGAGATGGCATAATGAAACTTAAACATTTCATTTTGAACTAAAATAATCTTTTCATAACTAAAAATTATTAGTCAACTAATTATTGAGATGATATAACGATATATAACACCACACACTGTAGATCAATTGTTTAACTATTAGACTAAACTGTGGACTTGATTTTTTTTTTAATCAAAATAACACATTTTAGAGTCCTAATCTCATCATCAATTCCGGCTCAAATTAAGGCCAATTGGAAATGATGAAGACTGCTCCATGGTCCCCATAAAAAATTAAGAAAAAAAAACATATATATAAGTTGCCGTGGGTGTAATGATTTGGATGGAGAAAACCAGTATCTGAGTGGATATAAGATTGATATTGTTACTGATTTTTCTCCTTATGAGCCGCTCTCAGCCAGCATCTGAGTCTCTCGTTGAAATTTAAGATGCTTTGTTATCTAAGATATCTCATAGTAGCATCTTAGGCATCTCCAGCCCTCATCTCTACTCTATACCATCTTTATCTCTACTCTAAAGATGAAACAGTAATTCATCTCCAGCATTATCTCAAGCACTATCTCTACATATAATAAAAAAACCAAAAATCAGAAGAAAAAAAATCCTCAACATTCAAATAAGAAAAAAACCAAAATCAGAAGAAAAAAATCCTCAACATTCAAATCAGAAAAAAAAAACCAAAAATAGGAAAAAAAAATTGTAGCGCAGCTACAGTGCAACACCAGTTGTAGCATGCACTGTAGCCCGACGCCACAATCCAGCATAACAATGGTGATGGACTGGAGCATAGAATCGTCTCCAAAGTGGAGATGGCCTTAAGTTATCTCACATCGCTAGTTTGAATATGAAGAAGGTGGCAACTATCCTTCTCACTTAAATTAGATTTTCAAGTTGATGTAACTTTTAAAAGATGAATTTGAAGATTTCACTCATCTTTTGAGTCTTTAATGATAATATGGGCTCAAAAGACGATGAACATAATATAAATGAAATGTAGCAAGTGGAAAATGCAATTCTTACAACTGTTGAAAAATCTGGTAAAGAAAACATAAAGAACACAAGAATTTTAACGAGGTTCAGCAATGTACTTACATCCTCGCCACCTTAGGCGGCGCTAGTTTTTCATTCAATATCTCATAGGTTTTTGGTTACATATCCTTTTATAATAAATAAACCCTGGTACATATTTATAAAATAACCCTATACCGTAACCCATATAATCGTAACCCCCACTACGAGACTTTCTTTGTAAGGACAGATGATGTTCGCTTCGCTCCATCCTCTGTCCTCTTTACCGGTATATTTATGAGACATACCTAACAAATCTCCACCTTGGAGAATATCCTACCCCTTGGGAAACATCCAATGTGGGTTGGGTTACCTTACTTCTTTAACAACTCGAAACACTCAACAAGTCCAAGCAATGCATGAACTTGTCATCACAACTGGCTTGGTGAACATATCAGTGGCATTCTCATCAGTATGTACCTTCTGAAACAAAATCTCTCCAGATGCAACCAACTCTCTGATCTTGTGAAACCTTACATCAATATGCTTAGTTCTAGCACGATATACCTGATTCTTAGCCAAGTGAATAGTACTTTGATTGTTACAAAGCAACTAAACTCCACCTTGCGGAACACCCAACTCCTTCACTAAACCAGTAAGCCATAAAAGCTTCTTTTGTTGTTTCAGCTGGTGCCATATATTCAGCTTCAGTTGTAGATAATGCCACAACAGATTGAACATTAGACTTCCAACAAATAGGCCCTCCACCAAGAGTAAAGACATTTCCTGTCGTAGATCTTCTATTATCCAAGTCACCTGAATAGTCTGAATCCACATATCCTACAACCAAAGGATTATCCCGCTAACTACCAAAACCAATTCCATGTCTCATAGTACCCTTTAAGTACCTAAAGATCTACTTGACTGCTTCCCAATATTGCTTACCAGGTTTAGACATGTACTTACAAACTTGACTAATAGCATGCGCTAAATTAGGACGAGTACATACCATTGCATACATCAAGCAGCCAACATTATTAGAATATGGAATCTTTTCCATATCTTCAGCTTTCTTATCTGTCTTAGGGCACTGTTCTGATGAGAGCTTAAAGTGATTTGCCAATGGAGAGCTCACTGATTTTGCGCTGCTCATCGCAAACCTTTCTAGCATTTTCTCAACATAACCCCGTTGAGATAGCCACAATTTCCTTGAGTCTCTGTCCCTGCAAATTTTCATTCCAAGAATTTTCTTTGCAGTACCTAAATCTTTCATATCAAATTCCTAACTCAATAAAGTTTTCAAACCGATAACATCATCCATGATCTTCGCAGCAATTAACATATCATCAACATACAGTAACAGAAAAATAAAAGAACCATCATGAAGGCTCTTAAAATAGACACAACAATCATAATCACATCGCTTGTAGCCAATCTTGATCATATAGGAGTCAAACCGTTTGTACCATTATCTCGGAGACTATTTCAACCCGTACAAAGATTTCTTCAATCTGCAAACTAAATGCTCATTTTCAGGTTGAGTGAAACCTTCAGGCTGTTGCATGTAGATCTGCTTCTCTAAATCACCATACAAAAAACCAGTTTTAACATTCATCTGCTATAAACACAAATCCCAACTAGCCACCAATGCAAGTACTGCTCGGATTGAAGTGTGCCTGACCACAGGAGAAAAAATTTCATCATAATCAACTCATTTCTACTGTGAAAAACCCTTTGCTACCAAACGAGCCTTGAACTTCTCCCCCTCTTTTTCTGTTACTACTGGTTTCTTCTTATACACTCATTTGTAACCAATAGGCTTCTTACCATTAGGAAGGCGAACTAACTCCCATGTACGATTGTGATTCAAAGACTCCATCTCCTCAACCATGGCAGCCATCCACTTGTCGTTTTTGCAATATCCCAAATTATGGGTTAGTGACTAAATTGTAAAATTTCAGAATTTGGTTATTACAGTGGAAAAGTTGAAAAGTTCAATGATTTATGTGGAGATAATCCCTAGAAGTTTTTAGTAATTATCCAAAGTAGTAAAGGGCAAAATGGTCATTTGACAATAAAGATATTTTTTATCCCCTTTAATAGGAGATTGAAACGTGGAAGATGAAAACATTTCGTCTCTTCTTCCTTTCTTCTTTCTCCTCCCGTAAGAGCTCAAGGGCAAACGTAAGTTTCTTCATTAGTTGATTATTTGTTCAACTAAAGGTTGGGTTTTGATCATTGGATGGTAATTAAGCTTAAGGAAAGCTTAATTGGTTCTAAAACAACAAGATGAAAGGTATATGAGAGATTAAAGATTTTGAGTTTTAGAATGAAATCTTGAAATAAAGTTGATAAGTTGAATTTTAAGTTGAATTTGACTTGTCAATAGTTGAATTAAGAGATTTGGAGTGATAGAAAGGAATTTAGAACATGTTGAAAATTGAGTATAATTCTTGAATTTCATTAAGAGGAGAGGATTTTGAGAATTAAGATGGATTAAATGAGTACAAATGGGCTTAAGTATGTGTGTTTGAGTTTAGTATATAGAAGAGGTTGAAATATGAAGTGTTTAAGATTAAATAAGTAAATTTCGTGCTGAAAATATGATTTCTGGGCAAGGGGAATCGGTACCCATTCAAGGGAATCGGTACCCATTCAATGGGGAATCGATACCCCTCAAGCGAACCAAAAATTCCAGAATCTCATAGGGGAACCGATTCCCCCACAGGAGGGAATCGATTCCCCCTAAAGGAAAAATGTGAATATTGGTTTAATAAGTTCGTTTAAGTTGCTAGTACCCAATTACAAGGTGTAGGTATCTAGTGATTGCCTCAAAATGTAC